TATCCATTTGGGGACATTCCATCGACTTCCATTACATTCCTACAGCCTAACCCTGACCACAAACCCTAAGGCTACAGACCCTAAAACTAAACTAAACTCATTTCACACCTTGGTCCTAAAGCCAGCCCCCAACCCACCAATGCAAACGGGACTCGACTTTTGTCCCCAAATGCACCAGTTGGCCCCAAAGGTAGGCATTTTGTCTTAAAATTGCCCCCAAATGTCACCAGAAACCCCCCCCCCACATACACACACACACACATGTTTGTTCTTGAACCCCGTGGGGACCTTCCATTGACTTTCATTCATGTTTTTTAGACTTTATAGCCTAAGCCTGACCATTTCCCCTAAAATTAACCTCACAGGTTAACCTCACCTGACCCTAAAACTAACCTAAACTGGTGCTAAACCCAACCCCACACCCATAATTTGCATTTTGACCCGTGGGGACCTGACATTGGTCCCCACGATTCACTTTGGTACCCACAAGGCTGCTTTTTTTGGGGGAAAATTGTCCCCACACTGTAGGAAAAATCCATTCCCCCCTCCCCCACACACACACTTTTTTCTTCTGTCCTCGTGGGGACTTTGCATTAACTTACATTCATTTACCAGTCCTTTTGATAGCCTGACCCTGACCCCTAACCTCACAATACCTGACCCTAAACCTAACCTAAACTCAATTAACACCTTAGTTCTAAAAAGAACCCCTGACCCACCAACGGTATATCCCCCAATGGGGACCAGGATTTTGTCCACATGAGGAGCAGTGGGTCCTCACCATGCAGGCTGCGCGCACCAGGAAAATGGTCAAAAATCATCCCCACCAGGTAGCAAGACATGCACACACAAATATTTGTTTACTATCTTTGTGTGGACTGCATTGACTTCACTTAATTTCTGCAGCCTTTAACCCTAATCTAAACCAAAGCCCCCTAAAAGGGGCATTTGAACTTACGTGCTCGAGCTTTGGTCCCCATAAGGAGCAGTGGGTCCCCACAAGGTAGTATGTTTTGGAAAAAGTAGGTCTTAAGGTAACATATGCTAGAACACACACACACACACACACACACACACAGAGAGAGAGAGAGAGAGAGAGAGAGAGAGAGAGAGAGAGAGAGAGAGACAGAGAGAGAGAGAGAGAGAGAGAGAGAGAGAGAGAGAGAGAGAGAGAGAGAGAGAGAGAGAGAGAGACAGAGAGAGAGAGAGAGAGAGAGAGAGAGTTCACAAGTTACTTTCTCTTCATTTCACAAACATAATCTCCCAGCAGACAGGGTCATCGTCTCATCAGGTAAGTAAATACAGGGAGCTCAAGAAGTTAAACATTAAAGCTTTTATTAAAAAAAGAATATTCTGAGTTTTATTTATTTATTTTTTTTTTTTGCTTTCTAATTAAATAACAGCAGAAAAGAATATCACAATTTCAGGACCCTTTAGAGTTTTAAAATCATGTTCAATTGAATATTTTCTATAAATTATCACATTGCTCTTCTAAGTCTCATCAAGTCATAAAAAACAAGCAAACTCCTTTTATTTTTCAAATTCCTTTCCAAAGTCTATTTTTTTCACGTTGTCTAGTTTTCTAATTTCCCCCCTAAATTTCTTTCAGCTCAATAAAAAAAAAATATCAGCGATCATTTCAAAGCTTTTCCTACTCTGATGATGTTAAGGTGTTTGGCAAGTTCTGCACATATGTCTGATCATTAAACAAAAACGGGCCTTTTTTTCTCTCTTTTCCTCACGCACCACTGAATGCTCCCGTTATTTCCACTCTAATCAAATGACGTGCGACTTTGCTGCGGTTTAAATGATTTAATAACTCCGTGCAGAAGTCTCTAATGCGCGCATCTTAGAAGATGAAAACATGAAGCATTAAATGAATTTCATTCTTTCTTTCTTTCTTTTTTTTTACAATATGGGAAAAAAAGAAAATTGCGGAAAACTCCCTGAATCTCCCTTGCATAAAAAAATTAAAAACAAACTTTTATTTTCTTGAATAATATTTAATTTGATGGCCTTGAGATAATTTATTTTATCTGCGCTGTTAAGTTTGGTATTTGAGAACAGTTTGATTAAACGATATTTATTTATTTTTTGTCTTTCTCCTGAGTTTAAAGGTTTAAATGTCCAAACACGCGCGTCTCTGTGAGCAGGTTTCTGTCCCGTTGGTCAAAAAAATAATAATAATAATAACATGAGGATGGTGGATGCCGGAATGTGATGTGTGCTCAGCAGGAACACACACTCTAAACCAGTTTAATTATGAGTCTACTTTGTTCATTTTAATTCCATGAAATGGGGCAGCCTATTTCATTTACACATCGATAAGTTAAAAGTTTAAGATTTAACGCTTTTTTTATTTTTTATTATTGTTTTTATTAAACGTCTTTTGGGTCCTAAACATACATTCAAAGTTGCAGTTTCCTATTTTAACATTGAATAAAGCCACGCAGGAGGTTGTGAGCTCAGTTTCCTAAAATAAATTAATTTTCCAGCATCTAAAAGGAACTTTTTTTATTTCAGTTGAACAAGCCATTCCAGCTCCGGGTCCATTTTACGCACAGAAAAAGCTTCGTCTTTCCGCTCAGAATCAGTGAAAAGGCCTAATGAACACATCAGAAATAATTAGTGTTTAATCAGTAATGCGTGTCTAGAAGTGAGAAGAGATTATTAAAGTCACTTTTTGCACTTTTTACAGTTTTAATGTTTGTAAAAAAAATGCTAAATTAAAAAAAAGGCATATTAAAAGTCAGACGAGCAGGACTTTTCCGGTTTACCCGCCTCCGCTCCTCTCTCCTGCCTCTCCTCCTCTTGCTGTCTGCGCACCAGTGGGGTTTTTCTTTTTTTATGTGTGGGGGGTCTCTTTATAACTAAAATCCCCTCCGAGAACCTGGGGTCCCTCTTCCTTATTGGTTAGGTGGAGGCGTTACCTCACTCCGGCTCCTGGTGACGCAGCGTCTTGAGCGCATCCTTCATGGTCTTGTTCCTTCACTGCTCGGAGTCTTCGCAGCTCCGCTCAGGAGGGAGAAAGAGCCGGACGGACCGGAGCTGAGCTCCCGTAACTATAATAATACACACATACATACACACACACAAACACACACACATACACACAAAACACTTCCCTTCCCGGGAGGAGAGTGGCGCCCACGAGCATCCTCTGAAACACACTGCACAGACTCTCTCTCTCTCTCTCTCTCTCTCTCTCTCTCTCTCTCTCTCTCTCACACACACTCTCACACACACTCACACACACACTCTCTCTCTCTCTCAGTCAGGAGTAGAATGAAATAATCAGCTCAAATCAGTGAGTCATCTGCTGTTTCTCCTCTGAAACACACTGCACAGCTGGAGGAGGACAGACAGACAGACAGACAGACAGACAGACAGACAGACAGACAGACAGGCAGACAGACAGACAGACAGACAGACAGACAGACAGACAGACAGACAGGCAGACAGACAGACAGACAGACAGACAGACAGACAGACAGACAGACAGACAG